GTTGCCAGAGTTATCCTGTGGCTTAGTCGGTGCTTACTCCCGGCGTGAATCACTTAAGCCAATAGTGAGGTGTGAGGAATATTTAATTTATTTTAGTCTTCAACTTAGTGAAATCAAACCAAAATAGAAACAAAAGCATGGAAGCTTGTGCTGGCCATTTATATAGGCATTGATGTGTGTTCTCAAATTTTAGGTCAATTTGACAATTTTTTATTAAGAAATTTTATAGTGGCTTGTTATATATTGATTTTTAGATAAAGTGCCAAATGGCTTTATAGAAATGCAAATGAAGGTGAAATTAAGCTGTGCTTGAATGCTAATTTTGAAATATTATAATTCTCATATATTCTGACTTTATTTTCTTACATTTCTTGCTGTTATTTCATTACTTTTAAACTAATTTTGCAGAACCAATTATAAATTAAAATTATTTAGAAATTTTGTTTTAATATGCATGTGAATAAGTTGTCAATCAATATCAATTAAATTATTTAAAAAAAATTCTTTAAAGACAAAACCTACCCAGTCAGTTAGGGTAAAACATCTTCATCTTAAAAATTATATTAGTAGACGGACACAAGATTTGACCTGTTGTATATTTTAAATTATGTGCAATTAAAAATAACTTGTAAGAAGAAAATAGTCACACAGTTCATTAAGGGCATTGATTTAATATACATCTAGCAAAATCAATATAATAAAAAGTAAAAAAAAACAATATATTACTATTATAACAATACTTATATACGACCTGAATAAACTAATTTCATAATTTTTGGTTTTAAAGGTTTTTTAATCACAATTTTGCATATTATCTTATTCATCAAGTATTATATTATAGGGTTAAATATGTTTTTAGTTCCTATATTATCAAGCGATTTTGATTTTAGTCCCTCTTTCAAAGTAAGTACATTTTAGTCCTCCTTCTTAACGAAACTTTGATTTTAGTCCTCCAAAACTAACACCATTAAAAACTAGCTGATGTGGCTAACGGTAGACTGACACGATTTTTTTTTGTCAGAGTTTATCAGCTTTTCTTCCTCTCTCTCTCCCTTGTCTCTTCCTTCAATCCCAAAACACAAAACAGTAAAATCTTTCGGTCAAGCTTTTCTCTCGCATCTCCCATCACCGGTTAGACAACCATCATCATCAAAATCACGAACGCGAGCCCCGAGAGAAGAACCCACACCGAGAGAAGAGAAGAACCCACACCGAGAGAAGGGCTCTGATCTCCTAATGCCAACTGAAAACTTAATGTATGACTTGGATAATGCCAACTGAAAACTGTGTACATCTTGATACCCTCTAAATCTACCAGCCAAACCAACTGTTCTTTGTTTGGTGTTCTTTGCGTGGTGAAAGGTTTAAAATGGCATTCTCGAACCAGTGTACGAAATGCTTAACTTGTCTCTCTGTTGATTTGGAGTTCTGTAGCACAAATACAGACCACAAATGAAATAAAAACATGAATGTTATCGCTCTTAAAAGTTGTTCATAAAAATAGGATTCTAACTAACCACTTATCATATTTATAGAACCCTTGACCTCAATTTCGAAGCTGAGAGTAAAAGGATCAGCAGACACAACACTGTTATGTAAATTCATAAAATTAAGTGTGTTTCCTACTAACAAAAGCGAAAAACCTATTCTCATTCTTCCCTTTCATTCCAGTAGCCAAGTATGATACTATATGATTACAGTTTTAGGGCTGATTAAACTAAACAAGATAGAGATGAAATTGATCCTCAGAAGAAACCTGGCGTCTAGGTGTTATTACAATCACTGATCTCGTACTTGTCCTGATAATTGGGCCTGTAAATCAACCCCTACTCTGCATCAGCAGCAACATCTTCCTGCATCAACAAAAATTCCATGTCAAAAAACATTTCCGAAAAGTGACATACTCTATATTATTTTGAAAGAGAAGACATGTCAGCCATGCTTTATCTAAACTTGATAAAAGAAAGTGAAGACAAGTAGTAATTAACTTACCCAGCGGATCTCTTTCGGTTTGAATTCTTTTCTCCATTTCAGACTTTGTTTTAACATTTGAGCTGCTTTCTTAACATTCGAATTTCGTGACATTAAATACCTTGAAATGGATGCATCAGAATAGTACACAGATTCCTTATCTGATAACTGCCCTATCAACTCTCTCACCTCAGTGATTTGAGAGAAAACAATTCATCAAGAGCTACATCCTTTGGAATACATGGATAATTTCACATTGTGTCGTGATATTACTCAAGACATTGTGTCGTGATATTTTCACATTGAAAACTTTGGAATACATGGACAATTTCACGTCACGTTCTGATCTCCTGTTGACCATATTGGAACTACCTTGACTAGTGCCTTCAGATCTTCCACTTCCTCCACTGTGCAAAGATTCCATGGATTCCTAGCTCTTCCTTCTGGTGTTAAATCTTGTGAGGGATTTCTAACTGTGCATGCTTTGTTCAGAAACCTGGCAAACAAAGTCATTGCTTCATTAAGCCTTTTCTCTCAAAAGCATTTTACAAGACCATTCAAGTGAACTACATATCGAACAAATGAACCAAAGAAACAAAACATACCTTAAGTTTTCAGTTGGCATTAGGAGATCAGAACCCTTCTCTTGGTGGTATGTGCCATTCTCGGTCTCCTGGGATAACTGAAGAAACCTGTGCTATACCACGAGAGTGGGGGAGACCGTAATGGTGACAGCAGTGTTCAATGACGTGGTCACATGGATTCTGCTCGCGTTGGCAATGGCTTTGGCGGAGAATGGCAGTGGGTCCCAGAAGAGTCCTCTAGTATCGGTGTGGGTTCTTCTCTCGGGGCTGGCGTTCGTGTTTTTGATGATGGTGGTTGTGTGACCAGTGATGGGAGATGCGAGAGAAAAGCTTGACCGGAAGATTTTACTGTTTTGTGTTTTGGGATTGAAGGAAGAGACGAGGGAAAGAGAGAGGAAGAAAAGCTGATAAACTCTGACAAAAAAAAAATTGTGTCAGTCTACCATTAGCCACATCAGCTGGTTTTTAACGGTGTTAGTTTTGGAGAACTAAAATCAAAGTTTCCTTAAGAAGGAGGACTAAAATGTCCCTTACTTTGAAAAAAGGGACTAAAACAAAAACCGCTTGATAGTATAGGGACTAAAAACATATTTAAGCCTATATTATATTATCTAATCTTTCTTTTAATTTGTAGTATAAAGAGTGTTCTATATAACTCGTAACTTGTAAACACTTGACGAATTCATTAAACTCTTACTTTATAAAGTGATTAATCTTGTTTCTTATTTATTTCATTCTCAAATATAAGGAAAAAAAAACTTTTTGTTTTAAAATTAGAAAGAAAATATTTGTTCATAAGATACAAAATCTATATAAATACTTTTTCATGAATAATTACAAGAATTGAAACTAGTTTGTTTTTTTCAAATGATTTACTTATAACGTTGTTTAATTGTAAATACTATCTTCTTATCAATATTCCACATAGACTATTCAAATCTTTTAAGAATCCAGTCATATTTTCAGTTATATTTGTATTGATATGGATATTTCCTTCTATTAACCAGCTGGAATAGCTCAGTTGGTTAGAGCGTGTGGCTGTTATCCACAAGGTCGGAGGTTCAACCCCTCCTTCTAGCGATTTTTATATGTTTTTTGTTAGATTTCCCATGTCAAGTTGTTAAAATGTAAACTGATTCTAATGATTCATTGTTTTGCTTACTTTTACTATAGATTTTGGAATTATATTTGACCGAGTTTAATTTCATGATTAAATTAATTGTTGTAAATAGGGATTTATTTGATTGAGATTACTTATGGTTAAATTAACGGTTGTCAATAGAAGATTAATAGGATAAAAATACTTTTAATATTCTTATAGTAATTAGAAAAATTATTTATATATTTTTATTTTTTTACAGTGTTGATTATTACAAGCAGAGAAGACAAGAATGTAAACTGTATGATTGATATTAAGTAAATAACCCTATCTTTTTATGTTGGTATCATATTTTCTGAGATTTTGATATCTCTGTTTCGTTGCTTTGTTAATTATCTTCATTGCTTTGTTAATTAAATGAGTAAGTTTTCATTTAATTTTATTCGCTCTGATTTTTAAGGACCTATTTTAGAATCTATTTTTAGATAAAATTGTTTTGTTATTTTTATTAATGTTTGTATATTATCAAAAGAATTAGCCAGAAAACAAAATATTTAGAGTTTTTTTTTTGTATTAATTCGTTTGTTTTCTATAAATGGCCTGTCTCCTTTAACACAAGATTTTGAGATGGGTGAGGTTATTTCAGCCGAACTTATTTAATTCAAATATTCTAAATTCTTATAGTTTTTTTTTTCATCCTAACACAAATGTAATAGTGTCAACTACTTTGAAATGAAAACTTGACAAAATTAAGAATTAATATGCGTGTGTTTATAATATATAGTGTATTCTGTTTTTCTTTAGGGTACTTTATTATTGAATACTGGTAGATAATATCTCAAAATAAATTTTTATCTCTTTTAAAAGCTTCGATTAACTTAACTCATTGCAAGTTAGGTCAATTTTAATTTTATCTCTAGTGAAGAACAAAAATAACATTTATCTTTGCATAAAGCACTAGCCCATATGATATACATATTAGTGTACAATTTCCATGATTTAGTGCTAAGTTTTGCATTTTGGTTTAGAAGAATCCTGGCTTTTAGCATATGTAATATTATTCTTTTGTTATGGGATACAAATATCCATTAATTATTGTCGCTGAATTAATGCATTCGGTAATAGTAAAGTGCATGTTCAGTCACATGTTGGTGAGTTGAAAAAAGAGAATAAAAACAAACAGAAGAAAAGATATGGCGCTGTTTTCGCTCACTTTATCATAAAACTTTTTCCAATCAGCCTTTTCAACGCCTTAAACAACGGGATTCATTATTAGGTTTCGTATTCGGTGGTGTTATTCCTATAAATATCCCTCCAATTCCTAACAAAGAAATAAGAAAAGCTAATCATATAGCTATGGCAGCAGCCTTCATTACAGCCCCATATGCTTGCCCTCTCTCTGCTTCTTTGTTGTACATCGAGTGTAGCTCAGGTACATTAGATTACATAATGTAGATAAGCAGAATGATTAAATCTCTGACAAGTGTGTATGTGATGTTTGAATTCAGGCTTATACGCGCAGCGGAACACTTGGGCCTTCAGGTATGGAGTGGTGAAAAAGGATGATGTTGGTTTTGGGTTAATTTGTATGATGATGATGATGATGAATATGATGATGATGAATATGCGATTGAATAACAGATTGTAAACCCAAGTGCACATACCGTTGCTCGGCAACTTCACACAAGAAGCCATGCATGTTTTTCTGTCAGAAGTGTTGTGCCAAATGCCTATGCGTTCCTCCTGGTACATACGGCAACAAGCAACTTTGCCCTTGTTACAACTCCTGGAAGACCAAGGAAGGACGACCCAAATGCCCTTAAACCCATCATACCTTCTTGTAGGATTCTACTTCTGTTCCTACAAAAATTATAATCATAGATGTTAGACCTCTATAGTTTTTAACTCTCTCCTTAGGGTGAGGGAGTCAACGAGATCATTCCTTTGAGTGTCTTCATTGACATTTTTCACTTCAACAGAAACACAACTGTTAGAAGACAAATCTTTCATTTTTTTTTTTATCAATCAAGAACTCAAGGTAATGTTTTCGACACCACTTCTTAACAAAAAACCTTATGTGAATATAAGTATCTATCATAAAGACAATTGTCTATAATAACGAATACATAAACTCATGTCCTTAATTTAAAAGTCATCCTAAACATTAATTAACCAGTAAAACAACTATTAATTTGTTAACATTTAAATTTCACTAACAAAATAAAATTTATTGTATACTATAAGTAAATTGTATTTTAAACATTTTATACTTCAACAAATCATCGTAAAGTCTATTATATTCTTTCAGGCATTTTAAAATTTTAGTTATTTTTTACTATTATAAATACAACCATCCACCTAATATAAAAACTTAGTAATATAATTGACTACAGTTATGATATGTAAAGAGTGTAAATCCTAATTATAATTTTAATACTATACATAGAAAATTAACACAGTCATAGTTGAGAAGAGTCCATACTAACAAAGGACATATAAAAATATTTTTTAAGAGTCATTCAAAAATAAATACTAAAAATAAAGTTCTGCATATAAGGACTGAACTGAAAAAAATAATTGTGACAAAAAAAAAGTAAAAACTTACAAATGAAAGAAAAAAAATCTTACTAAAATAAAGAAACTTGGTAATTAAATGCCTCGTATCCATGAAAAACGGATAGAAACAAATTTGGAAAAGAATCTAATCAAAACACCTTAAAACATTTCAAACGATGATGAACTTAACCAAAAAAAGCATTGTAGAAAAAAGTTGAAGAAGGAATGCATTATATTGTGCGCTTCGGTAACAAAAGAAACTTAAAAAGAAAGAAAGAAAATAAGACCTTACCAATTAAAAATAAATTTAAGGACTCTTTAGAATTTAAAGTTTTCAGTTGGCCGCTTAGTGGGCACAAAGCAAGCACAAAGCTAAAAACAGCAGTCCAGTGTTCCACGACATCGACACACAACTACAGTTGTGTGCCTATCCGAGCCTTCATAACAAACACTTTCTTGATTATTATCATTAATTTCATAATCATAGCTAAATATCTTTAAGCCAGCCTAATTAGAATCAAACAGTGAAACTGAAAACAATGGCGCTCAATGCGTACCCCTCAAGGGCAAGACACCTTATGACTGAGTAACTTATGGTAGACACCCTAGCGTCCCACTTGAATCCTGATAGTCAGCATTTTAGAACACTGATGTGTGTATCATATTGGCCCATTGAGTCTTTATGAGTCATTTTACTCTATTCTTATACCAAAAATAAGTCTAATTCCATTCAAAATCTTCTTAGGTAACACCACAGTTTAGAAATAACATTTAATGTCACACGTTTAGCGTCTAACGAAAGAAAAAAAAATTCACATAAAAAATGATCGGTCGACAGTTGGGTGTTGCTCTCTCCACCATCCCAAGTGCTCTCTACACCAATTCCCACTATTTCTTTATTCAAAAATACGGTACACCTCACCTCTATTTTCCTTTTATTTTAAAAAATGCTCTACAACCTTCCCCACTATATTCAACATATCTTTCTCTTTTTCTCTCCACATAATGGAGCATTCACATGGCTACAGATTTAAACTTGTGATATATGCAAAATTTTATTTACACTTTTCTTAAATAAGTTTGATCATCGTATTTCACTGTTCAATATATTTTTTTCTTCAAATTACTTATAAATGGTAAAATTATTCTAAATCTAGAAAATGTTTATTATATAGTGTTTTTTTTACATTTAATAATCTGATAATTTTTAACATTATATTATGTGTTGTACACTACCGACCTGTTTGACTCAAATAACTTGAATAAAATATTTAATTTTTATTAGATAAATAATATAAAAATATTATAAATACTTAAAATATAAAAGAAAAGTTATTTGTTAAAGCTTTGAAATTTATTTAATTCTTTCGTCATTATAAGTTAGTATATATAATAATAATAATATATTATTTACTATTAATATTATTATGTTTATTATTTTGTATTGTATCTAACTTTTTAAGTTTATAAAATGAAAATGTGTGATAGAAAACATAATATTGAAAGTTCCTACTAAATTTATATTTTACAATATATCACAAGTTTAAATCTAAGCAATTAAAAGAAAATAGGAGAGCGTTGTAAAGTGATTTTGGAATAAAAGAAAATAGGGAGAGAGTGCAGACCCCACTTGGGGTGGTGAGGGGAGCAAACCCGTGACGTTTTTGTAAATAAAAACATTATAAAAGTCGGTTAAATGGTCCCCAACGTCAATAAGGTATAGACGTCGGCTCTCAGGGTCAGACTTCAAATGGTTTGCATACAGATTGAAAAGTTCACTATTTATTTCCTTTAGACGTCAACTACAAGCCCCTCGACGTCTAATTTCCCCTACGTAAAAAATCTTCGAAAATATCTCATTTGAGCGCCAATATTAATTTTTCTTGCCACTTAGACGTCGGCCCCCTTCCCCACAAACGTCAAAAAGGTTTGAAATTACCTCATTTTGGGTATCAATATTAATTTTTTTTACCACTTAGACGTCGGCTGGGAAGGGGGCCAACGCCTTAGAGCACTTAGACGTTGACTTGGAAGGGGGGCTGAAGTCAAATACTCTGCATTTTTACCCACTCCAGAATGCGATCACTAGTTAAGCGTTTTCTCTCTCTTTGCGTTCAACTTCTTCCTTTGCTTTCTTTAGTTTGGCATTAACGTCCAGGTAAGTTTTCTTCCACTTTGCACCGTTTAAATCATTTTACATCGATTATATTATGTTTGGAACCATTATCTTTCATTTACACCGATTAAAATTCGTTTTCATTGACTTTTGGTGCAGTTCTTGGGCGAGTTCTAGGATAACTACGGTGGCGATTTTTGGTTCGTTGTTGTGTGTGTTTTTCTCGTCACCCTCACAACGAGACCTGTCTACTTCCTCACCTTCACAATTAGTTTCATTTTTGGGTTTTTATGTATATTAGTTGTTGCATTTTCATTGGTTGTTGGACTTTTAATTGGTTCTTTACTACCTCTAAAATTCTAAAAAAAATTTGTGGTGTATTCTTGTGTTTAATATTGATTTTTCATGGTTTCAGTGGAAGAAAATATTGGCAAATTTTTCTTAAAAAATAGCCCAAAAGTTGACGTTTGTTGACAACGAACGTCAATTTAACGTCTCCCGCTATGACATCGGAAATTTAACAAACGTCAAAAGCCTAAAATAACAGAAGGTAAAGGATTCAGAGAGGACAAAAAGGAAAATTAAGATTTGTTACCAGTAATGTGATATGTGGCTCCCGAGTCAAGAACCAAAGAGCCAAAAGAAAAAGGTGGACTTAGACCAATAAAAGATATGTTATAAGGTTGTTGATCCTTATAGCATTTGAGAAATTTACTGAAAATAATATAGTCATCAATAATATCAGATGAAGGATGATCCCTAGTAAGTGATTATGACAGAGAAGCAGTCTGAACAATAACAAAAAATCTAGGAAGACGACCATATAATGCATAACACCTTTAAATTATGTGGCCTAGCTTGCAATAATAGTTACACTTGAGATTCAACATACGTGTTGTTTCTCTTATATTAGATCTTCTGTATAACTATTTTTTGAAAAAGATATTATTTATATTCTTAGTTGTTCTTTTGGTTTTGTAAATATATAATAATTTCATGGTTAGTTTAGATAACTGTATAAATATTTTATATTTTCTTTAAGTTTAACTGTTGTATTTTATTTGGAAAGGTGTTTCCTATTAGTAGCAATACTAATCTAAATGAGATATTTATTAATTATTACCAATATTAATAAAACACATAAAAATAATACCTTATATTTTTAATTAAAATAAATACAAATTTAAATATACTTTTATTATATTTCTGATCTGTTTAAAATGTACTAAAAAAATTCATGCTTGTATTAAAATTACATTTATAATAAATTTCTAAATATAGTTAATTTATTTAAAATGTATGGTAAAAAAATAAACTTGTTCGTTTAAAAATTAATTGTCAAACTGTATGTTTTATTATTTATTATATAATTATCTATAATATTGAATTAATATTTTAAATAATTAAAATTTATATTACTAAAAAATTAAATTTTGATATTATAAAGTTAATTAAAATATGAATGAGCGCTATCAAAGTTATTAATTTTAATAAAATAAGGTAAGATTTTTATTAAAATGCTTATTTGTGTGAAGTGCTCATTTAGGATTTTCATAATATTCTTCCTTATAAAAAAATAATTATTAAATACAAAGATGATAGAGAAAAATTGTAGAGAAATATTAATAATTTTCTCAAAAGGAGGTAATTGCTTTCATTATCCAAGTAATTTTCTCACTATATATATGATAGATCATCAAGTCATTTTTGTTATGAGAAGAGAATGATGAATATGTTATTCTTTATTATGTGCTTGTGTTTAGTGATTAGTCATAATGTTGATGGTATTCAAGATACATTGAAGAAAGATTTGGAGTTTGAGAGACATCCAAAACTCAGAGATAGGTCTCCATTCAAGACTATTAATGTATTTCATAATCTTCTTAAATCTTTTCATATCATTTTTCTTTTGCCTTCATATCATATTTCATGGATTACTAATCATATTATTTTTATTTTGGATTTGATAGTCAGAGTTTGAAGATATTATTGATTGTATTGACATTTATAAACAACCGGCCTTCGACCATCCTTTATTAAAGAACCATAAATTACAGGTAAATGATAAAAAACCTTAAATTATATAAAAAAAAAGTTCAAGTTTAAAATTTTAAGAGTTTTAGTTTAAAGTTTCAATTTTTCTTTGTTTTTTATTCTAAACTTTAATTTTTCTTCTTTGTTTACAGATG